GCCCATGGAAAGACAGAGAATGTTCCAGCCCTGCCTCGAGGACCCACGGGGAGAGCGGGCCCTGTGTTAAGGTGCATCTGGCTGAACACTGCAGGTTGGAAATGGCACAGTGAAACCGCGGCTTGTACGAGCAAAGCCTGGCTGCGTGTCGGAACAGCACGGCCCCTAGCCCAAGAGGCTTCCAGGCCAGCAGGGCCATGATGCCTGGCCTGGAGGTGGCTCTGAAAGAGGGAGGGAAGCTATTCTCATTTCCTGACACTTCAGCTGCTGCCCGTACAAGAATCAGGAAGCGAAGCATCCAGCTCGGCCCTTTCCTTGCACTCCTGTTGGTCCGGCACACAGCAGAGACCCCAGAGCATCTGGCAAGGGGGGTCACTCAGGTTCCAAACTGCAGCAGCAGCCTCTCGAGTGGCGGTCCTGTGCCTGTTTCCATTCTAACCCTGTGCTCCTTAGCAGCAGGGGCCAGCTGTGGGACCCAGTTCCCCGGCACCCTGGCCAAGGGTGTTAGTTGCTGTCCTGTAGGCTGGGACAGACTCCATTGAGAATTGAAAGACAGCAGCATTTGATTATAGCTTTATGGAAAATAGGTCTCATAAGAGAAGCTTCTTCTCATAAGCCTGGCTGCTAAACTTCTGTCAGGGCTGCGGTTTAGTCCTGCTCGACAGACCATACGAAAGTTAACGCGATGCCAAATCAGTAGCACCCATATTAAATGGACTGAACAGCGGCTAGCTAGTGGATGTCAAAAAGTCAATGGGCAGTTGTCATCCAGTGGGGGCGGGGGGTTCTAATGGGGTGCTGCCCAGGAGCTGCTCTCAGCTCCATGTTATTCAATGTCTTCTTCGAGGATCTGGTTGAAAATATAAAAATCTCTGGTGATAAATCTTACAGTGTACAGAAAATTCGGTAAATCATGATGGGGACACGTGGGTTCCACTGAGCGACCTGGCTCCCATCGTAAGCTGGAGGCAGGGTTGTTGGAGCCGGGTCGGCCCCAGGGTATGAGACAGACAAGGTGCGGGAGGGCATAGCTTGTATTGGACCAAGAGAGCCCTGCACAGAGGTCTTACTCTCAGGTGTGAGCGCCAAAGCGTGCATTGCTCACCCACAGAAGCTGGTCCAATACAAGCTATTCCCTCACCCACTCGGCAGTATGCTGGGTGCATGTGAACAGAGCTAAATGCCAGGACGTACCCTTGGAACAGAGAATGTAGGTCCCGCAGGATGGGGCCTGGCTCACTGGGTGGAAGAGCAGTTGACTGCAAGGTCAGGGCTAATGTGAGCCGTTGGTGTGTCCGCTAAGAGTGGCAAACGCATCTCCTGGGACCCTGCTGGGGCCATTGCTGATGCGGGAGGTTTGGGCTGCCTGGCCTGGCACTGCAGGATGCTGCCCCCCCCCAGCACTCTCCCTCTGCCCCCCAGGCCATTGAAGAGGGCACGCTCGACGCCCTGGACCATGTCGACTTCCAGAACACAGACATCCCCTTCGAGGTGCCACTCCCGGCGCACCAGCACGTGGCTGTGAGTGTTGTCCGTGTTCTCCACCCCCCGCTTCCCTCAGCCCAGGACAGGCAGGGAGTGAGGCAGCAGGGCCCAGCTGTCAGCAGTAAGCGGGGGTGTGCGGGATCTGACCCTCAGCAACAGGAGGTGGGGAGTGCGAGGGACCAGGCCCCCGGCTCTCAGGACTGTGGGAAGTGAGGAAGCGGGCTCCCAGCTCTCAGGACCGGGGGAAGTGAGGGAGCAGGGCCCCAGGTCTCAGCAATAGGGGATGATGCAAGGAACCAGGGCCCCAGGTCTCAGGGCCAGGTGAGTGGGGGGAGGGAGGGACCAGGCCCCCAGGTCTCAGGACCAGAGGGTTAGGGGGTCGAGGGGCCAGACTCCCACCTCTCAGGAACACGGGGGAGGGTGGCTCAAGGGACCAGGGCCCCAGCTCTCAGGACTGGGGAGTAAGGGAAGCGAAGGATGAGGCCTCAGCTCTCAGGATCAGGTGAGTGGGGGGTGAGTGACCAGCCCCCCCACCCTGCACCCCTCCCAGCTCTCAGGACCAGGCAGAGGACACAAGGGACCAGGGCCCCCTCTGTCAGTGGGGGTTCAGGATCTGGGGGCCTGACCCCCGCCCTGGTCTCAGGGCCGGGCCAGGCCAGCTTGCAGGGCGGTGCCCAGAGTCAGCAGTGATCTGTGCTGCGTGGCAGGAGGCGACACGGGAGGAGATCAGGGACTGGGTGCTCACCATGTCCATGGATCAGCGGCTGGAGCAGGTTCTGCCCCGAGATGAGCGGGACACATACGAGGCTTCGCTGGTGGCCGCAAGCACGGGCGTGCACTCCCTGCCTTGCCTCCTCACCGGTGAGTCCCTGGACATTTAGCCCCTCAGGGATGGGGGAGCAGGATTGGGACCCAGGGGGCAGGAATGAGATCTGGGAGCGGCGAATTGGCGGTGGTGGGGAGGTTTGGCACAGAGGAGGAAGGATCAGGACCTGGGGAGTAGGGGGGCAAGATTTGGACCTGGGTGGGCAGGATTGGCGGTGGGGGGGGGAGATTTGCAACCTGGGGGGGGAGGCGGGCTTGGCAGGGGAGCAGGATGGAGAGAGGTTTGGGACCCACGGGGGCAGAATTGGCAATGGGGAGAGGTTTGGACCAGGGGGTGAGGTTTGGGACTGTGGAGGAGGATTGGGACCCGGTGGCGGGGGCAGGTTTGGGCCATGGGGGCGGATTGGTAGTGGGGGGGGATTGGGACCTGGGGGAGAAGGGTTGGTGGGGGGAGGTTTGCGACCGTGGAGGAGGATTGGGACCTGAGGGGAGCAGGGTTGGTGGGGAGGAGGTTTGGGCCCGGGGGGGCGGATTGGGACCTGGGGGGGAGCAGGGTTGGTGGTGGAGAGGTTTGGGACCTGGGGGGAGCAGGCTTGGTGGGGGGGAGGTTTGGGACCGTGGAGGAGGATTGGGACCTGGGGAGAGCAGGCGTGGTGGGGAGGTTTGGGCCTGGGGGTGGAATTGGCAGCAGGGGGCATCAGACACTGGCGAGGGAACTGCAGGCGAAGGCCTCGGGCATGGGGCAGGGTCCTGGCACCTGAGATCCTGGCAGGGGAATTGCTGTGTGTTGGGGCTCTGGGCCCCCGTGCTGGCTCTGCCCTGGGTGGTGCTGTTGGCTAAGCGCCTGGGCCAGGCCCCTGGGGGTGGTGCCGGCAGGGCTGGGGGTCGGGCAGCGCTGGGCTCAGCCCAGCTTGGCCCCGCTCAGCAGCGTCTGTCTGTCGCCAGGCTACCCTGTGCTGAGGAACAAGGTCGAGTTCAAGCGGCCTGGGAAAGAAGCCAACAAAGACACATGGAACAAGTTTCTGATGGCTGTCAAGGTGAGGGGGGGCAGGGCCTGTCTTCAAGGGAGGGCTCAGCGCCCAGCACGGGGGGGGGGGGGCAGGGCCTGTCTTCATGGGAGGGGCTCAGCGCCGGGGCGGGGCGCGCAGGACAAGGCAATGGCTCTGGCTCACTCACAGGCCTGTGCCCACTGGGAGGGAGAATGGGGGGGCAGCCGTTCACCCCACCCCCTCGCCCAGCGCTTCTGAGCTGCAACAAAGGGCAGGGGATCTAGGGGCATTGGCTCCCCCAGGGGGAACTGGCTGAGCCCAGCAGGGGAAGACGTGGCTGGGTTTAGCCCTCGTATGGGGTCTCAGCCTGGCCCAGCCCCACCTCAGGTGAACATCCCCCAGCGTCACGCAGCCCCCATGTGTATTATCCTGCTGGGCTCCCCCCCTTTCCCAGGCTCTGCCCCATGCCCACCCCCAGTGGGCCCCAGGGACCAGGGCTGTGCCCCACCCTGCCCCAGTCCAAGGGACAGGCTCCTGGCTGCCTTAGTGCAGCGATTCCCCCCCCCGACCCCCCGTGGGGGCAGGAGGCATGTGAGGTAGGGGGGCTGGGCCCAGCTGCTGCCTGGTCATGCACCTGCTCGGGGGCTGGGCTCGCACTGTCCCCCAGGAGGGAGTGGGAGGATGCGCTGAATCCCCCAAGCCCGGGTGGCTCCGCGCAGCCTGTGCCCAGCATCTCCTCTTCTCTCTTGCAGACGTCCCATAGCCCCGTGTGCCAAGACGTGCTCAAGTTCATCGGCCAGTGGTCTGGGGGGCTGCCGAGCAGCAGCCTCTCCTTCCAGTGAGCGGCCGCCAGGGCTGAGTGGGGCCCCGCTTTCCCCGCCCCCTCACCGCTCCCCAATAAAGCAGGCTATGGAACCCCAGCTGTGATCCTGGATCCCGTGTCCGGCCTTGCTTGCGAGTCCTGCGCTTCCTCTGGGGGTGGGCCGCATCCCATTGCCTCCAGCCCATGGCACCCCAGCGCCTGGCCAGGTCGCAGGTGAGCACAGGAGCCCGACACAGGCTCGCGTCACCTGGAGGGCCCTGAAGTGATGGGGCTCAGGCCAGGCTCAGAGCAACCGAGAACGAGCACAGGGGCCCTGCCCTCCAGACCGCTCCCTGCGGGGTTGAGTAGGCTGGGCCCTTCCGCTGCCTGGGGGATGCAAGTGCAGGGGGAGGATTGAGCGCCGAGCAGCAGGCCCCGACTGTAAGCAGAGCGTCCAGCACCCCACATCTTCCTCTAGGGCTGAGACCCCCTGAACAGCGAGCTGGTGAACAACGGGCTGGCCCCAGAGAGAGTCCTTCCCCCACCATGGCCCCAGTGCCAGGCTCCTCCCCTTTCTTCAATGCCCCACCCACTGCAGGCTCCACCCCTTCAACATGCCCTGCCCCTTGCAAGGTTCCTCCCCCCTTAACACCCCCACTGCCAGGCCTCTCCCTGCTCTACGTGCACCAGTCCCATTGCCACGCTCCTCCCTCTTCTACACACAGACCCACCCACAGCCAGACTCCTCTCCCTGCTATACTGACCGCAGTTACAACCTGCTTCCCACTGGGGCTCAGCCCCCCTCAGAGGACAGCCAAGGGCTGTACCCAGTGACTCTCTTGCTTGCAGCAGTTCACCCAGACTCGGGGAGTCGCTTGGGAAGCCAGGTCCCAAACCACTGAGAGTTTATTAACCATGTTTATTCGGATGGTGCCTGAGGGCCAGCAAGCCCCGTGTGCTAGGTGCAGGACATCCCCAGAGCCGTGGCCTGTCCTGGCGCCACAGGCTTGGCAGGGCCTGGGGCCGAGCACACCCGCAGCGTGCCGGGGCGAGGGCCGGTTCATGCCGTGGCTGGGTGTGTGAGTGGGAGGGGGTGAGCTAAGGGGCAAGTGTGGAGTGAGGCTGAGGGGAAGAGCTGGAGGGAGGGGTGCTGAGAAAGGCCAGCCCCACCTGCAGGGGGGTCACTGGCTGTCCAGATGTCTCTGCCCTCCCCGCTGGTGTCTCTGGTGGGATCCCTTCCCCCATGGCCCTATGGGGCTGGGAATGCAGCACAGCATGGTGGGAAGAGCCCCAGGAGGGCTGGCAGCAGCAGGACTGGCACGAGGGGGACAGCCGCGGGAGCCCTGATACCAGCAGGGCCCTGCCACAGCAGCCGAGAGCCTGCTCCCCCAGGAACAGTCTGCTGGGAGGGGCAGCTGCCCCCTCCCTCCTGGCCCTGCGTTCTGCCTCTCCCATGGGGCTGCATCAGCATGACGGGCACTTCACTCACCCGCTCCCGGCCGATGTGGCCGGGGGGTTCCTGGAGCAGCGCCTGCGAGAGAAAGAAACTGTCCAGCTGTGGTGGCTGCAGACCCCTGCGGCCCCTGCCGGGCGGCTGCACCACAGAACTCGGACCCTGGTGCGGGCCGGGAGGGGGCAGGACCACAGGACTCGGAGCCCCGGCATGGGCAGGGAACGGGGCCCTGCACAGCCAGGAGGGGGAGTGACAGGGTCCCCATTGCCTGGGTGGAAGTTGCACCGGGTTGAGCAGCTTCTAGCCAGGCTGGGCTGGACAGTCAGAGACCCACCAACCCAGCGGGTTCCCCCATGTGCCCCTTTCCCCCTGCTGGGCCAGGTGACGCCACACACTCCCCTCACCTCTGCCCCTAGGCCGGGGCCCCGTCCGCCACAGCCAGCAGCTGGCACAGCTCTTGCTTGTGCCGGTCCTCAGATGCCACCTCCTTTGTTGCCATCTCTGCCTCCAGCTGGAAAGGAACGCAGATGCCTGAGCGAGGCACCCTGGGCAGCAGCGCCCCAGGGGCAGTGTGATGCCAGGGCTGGGGTGACTGAACCCCCAGGGAGGTGTGCAGGGGTCATAAGAACAGCCAAACTGGGGCAGACCAAAGGGCCACCTAGCGCAGTCTCCAGGTCCCACAGCGGCCAGTGCCAGGTGCCCAGGTTCTCAACCAGGGGTCTGGGGCCCACTGCGGGGCCGTGAACATGTTTCAGGGGGTCCCCCAAGCAGGGCTGGCATTAGACCTGCTGGGGCCCAGGGCAGAAAGCCAAAACCCCACCACCCAGGGCTCCAAGTCCTGTCACCTGGGGCTGAAACCAAAGCCTGAGCAACTTAACTTCGCAGGGCCCCCTGTGGCATGAGGCACCAGGAAATTGCCCTGCTTGCTACCCCCTAATGCCAGCCCTGGCTTTTATATACAGAAACACAGTTGTTGTTGGCCATGGAGTTTTTAATAGCATGCTTTGGGGGGGGGGGGGTCGGAAAGGAAAAGCTTGACAACCCCTGCCCCAGAGGGAATGAACAGGGCAGTTGTCAAGTGATCCATCCCATTCTCCAGTCCTAGATTCTGGAAGGCAGAAGGTGAGGGACACCCAGAGCATGTGATTGTGTCCCTGCCCATCCTGGCTAATAGCCATTGATGGATCTACCCTCTGTGAATTTATTTGAGTCTTTTTTCAGCCCAGTTATACTTTTGGCCTTCACAACATCCCCTGGCAATGAATTCCACAAGCTGTGTGTTGTGTGAAGAAATACTTCCATTAGTTTGTTTTAAACCTGCTGCCTGTTAATGTCATTGGGTGACCCCCAGTTGTTGGTTTATGAGAAGGAGTAAATAACACTTCCTGATTTACTCTCTCCACACCAGTCATGATTTTATAGCCCTCTGTCATATCCCCCATTAGTCGTCTCTTTTCCAAGCTGAAAAGTCCCAGTCTTATTAATCTTTCTTCATATGGAAGCTGTTCCAGACCCCTAATCATTTTTGTTGCCGTTTTCTGAACCTTTTCCAATTCCAATAGATCTTTTTTGAGATGGGGCGACCACATCTGCACGCAGTATTCAAGGTGTGGGCGTCCCATGGATTTATACAGTGGCATTATGACATTTTCTTTCTCATTATCTCTCTCTTTCCTAACGGGTCCCACCACTCTGGTAGCTGGTTTGACAGCCGCTGCGCATCGAGTAGATTTTTTCAGGGTTGAAGCTGGATGAGCAGTGTCACATGCTGCTGTGTGGGCAGAGCAGGGGGGCAGACGAGGGACAGCCCCTCTATCAGCCCTGGGGAGACACCCCTGGCCCTGCACTGTAATCTGGACCCTCCCACCCCAAAACCCATACATATCTGGCCTTGCAGCCCCCCCGACCCCACGCTTGCTCTGGCCCCTCATTCCCTTCACACCCGAGGGGGGTGCAGCGCCTCTCAGTGGGTGTTGGGGACACCACCCCGGGACCCTGTGCTCAGGGTTACAGCAGCTGAATCTGTCTGGTGCACCAACTGGGGAGAGCCCCAGCCCCCCGAGAGAGGCCCTGGCGGGGCCAGGGGAAGAAGGGGACGGTTCTGGCTGGAACCTCTGACCTGCTGGCGGATGTAGGTGTCTGCACAGGGGCCGATGCCGCGGAGGATCAGGGACACCACACAGCACCTGCCGGAAAGCGCCGCTTCGACCGCAGCCATCACCATGGAGGGGAACCAGAGCGCCAGGGCCGTGTCCTGGGGGGGTGCAGTCAGGTCAGGGCATGCAGCAGGGGGGCGTGCAGGGAGCAGGGGGAGCCCAGCCCGCCAGGGGCGACGGATGGGCGGGGCCCAGCCCCGCAGCAGGGACTCACGTAGATGCGGGTGGTGTTGAAGGGGCAGTCGTTGGTGGCTATGGCAGCCCGGGCGTCGGCTGGGAGGGCGGAGCTGTTGCATCCCACGATCAGGCGGCGCCCCCTGCTGGCGACGGTGAGGGAGACGGCCAGGGCCAAGCCCAAGCTGCAGGCCGCGGAGAGCAGGCAGTTCAGCAGCGAGACGCACAGCAAGGCCCAGTGCTGCGGGCAGAGACCAGAGCTGGGGGGCAGGCGGCCGGGCAGCCACGGGGCGTTGCCCCACCCCCCGCCAGGGGCCACTCACCAGCTCCAGCAGCCCGGGGTGAGGTGGGCAGCGGCCCTGGGCCCCACACGCCCAAGCAGGGACCCGACCCCTCCCCTCCTCCAGCAACTGGAGCAGCTGCTCCCAGACGAACGTTTCTCTGGGCCTCCAACGTCTCCCTGCACCCCAGGCCCTTGCAGCCCCACGGGGCCCAGCCCCACCCCCGTGTCCATGTGAAGCTGCAGGGGTCAGGGTCTCCCCTGCCTCGCCCGCTCCAGCGCTACCCAATCCCCGCACTAACGAGCATGGGCGCCTGGCAGCCGTTGCCCTGGCCTCAGCTCTTGGCCTCAGCTCTTGGCGGCCCCTTCCCCCACCCCCCGGTGACTGCGCCTGGCACCGTTCTGTCTGCTTACAGCTGGTGTCAGACGCGCCCTTTGCCAGCCTAGCCACGGGGAGGGCTTGGCACAAACCCTGGGTGCCCTCTGCCTGCTAGTGCCCCAAGGCCCCACTTCTGCGCCTGGCTTTCCCTTGGGGACGGGCCATCCTGCACCGAGCCAATGCTAGTGTCTGAGCCGAGACACCTGCATTGCACCATGCTGCACAGCGCAGCCGCTGCCCAGCCATGGGGTGGGCGGACCTGCCCCCCCGCTTGTGTCAAGGGCTGTGGGGTTGCCTGTGAGCGCTTGGCGGCAGGGAGGGGCTGTCACATATTTACACAGCACAAGGTAGGGCCTTGGCCTTGGCTGGGGAGAGCAGGGGGTGCCTGGCACGGGCTGGGGAGGCCTTACTCAGCCAGGGGAGGTCTGTCCGTGCACCTGGCATGCATGGGCGGAGGCGGGGACAGGGAGCAGCCCCGATGGAAGGAGCTGGGGCCTTATCTGCAGCAGGTGTGGCCTGCTGAGGACACAGCTGAAAGCAGGCTGGGCCCACACAGCAGGAGACAGGCACCTCAGGGAGCAAGGTCCAGGGCGCGGCTGCTGCAGGAGCTGGGCCACGGCCCTGAATGCTGCTTCCTGCCCGAACTCAGCCCCCCCCTCCCCCCCGGGGCTGTGACCCCAACATTGCCCCCCCTCCCCTGGCTGTGACCCCAGCATTGGCCTCCCCCTCCCACCCTGGGTTCCCCGGCTGTGACCCCAGCACTGGCCTTCGCTCCACCCGGCCCTGCAGCCCCGCCGGCTCCCCAGCGCTCACTCACCAGGGCTGCCTTGAGGAGGTTCTGGGACACCAAGATGGCCACAATCCCAGCAGTGATGCTCTAGGGAAAGACGGGGGGGAGGGTCAGTCCCTCCCCCAGTGCATGCCCCCCCGCCGCAGCTGCCCCAGACCCCGCGGCTGGTCCCTGGGGCATAGCAAGCAAAAGCATTGTTAAATCAGGGGCCCTATGGACCCAGAATCAGCCACACCCACGCTCTGACCCTGGCGTTTGGGCCGGAAGGGGGCAGGACTGGCATCTCACCGCAGCAGGGATTCTGCTTTCTGCTCCTTGCACAGGCCCAGTGGCCTCAGTTTCCCGCCCAGCTTCTAGCTGCGCTCAGCTGCCCAGCACGTGTCTCTCTCCGGGGTCAGCGGGCAAGGGCCGCCGTGTCCCTGCAGGCTCAGGCCCCGCCAGCTCGCCGGGCACATCGCTGGGGCTCACCCCACGGGGCCACGCAGGGACTCCTGCAGGCAGCTGGAGCCCCAGGGACACCGGGGGGAGCAATGGGGCTACGGGTGCTGGAGCAGGGCCGGCCGGCGGGGCCTCACTCACCAGCAGCCCGGAGCCGACGGAGATGACGTTGGCGGTCGTGTACTCGGAGGTGACCGTGCGCTCAGGGTTGGCCACGTGGCGCAGGACGGTGCCGTGCACGAGGGCCCCCAGGATGAAGTTCAAGTGGCCCAGGATGATCAGGGTAATGCCAGAACGCATGAGGTGCTGGGGCCCGTGCCCCAAGTCTGCAAGGGAGGCAGGCGTCAGGCATGGGGGGGCTTGTACCGCTGGGGGGGGCACTGGAGAGAATCGCACACAGCGTAAGGGCCTAGTACCCCCCCAAGGGGCATGGGGGGGGCTTGTACCGCTGGGGGGGGCACTGGAGAGAATCGCACACAGCGTAAGGGCCTAGTATCCCCCCAAGGGGCATGGGGGGGGGCTTGTACCGCTGGGGGGGGGGCACTGGAGAGAATCGCACACAGCGTAAGGGCCAAGTACCCCCCAAGGGGCATGGGGGGGGGCTTGTACCGCAGGGGGCACTGGAGAGAATCGCACACAGCGTAAGGGCCTAGTACCCCCCAAGGGGCATGGGGGGGAGGTGCCCAAGTGTGCTGAGGGGGGTCGCGCATTGTGGGGGAGAGGGTACCCGAGTGCAATGGGTGAGAAATCACACATGGCGGGGGGGAGGGTATCTGAATGGGCCGTGGGGGGGTCACACATGGCATAGGGGGAGTGTACCTGAGTGTGCAATAAGGGGGGTCTTCACACACAGCGGGGGGGACACACCTGAGTGTGTACTGGGACGTCACGCACGGCGGGGGGAGGGTACCCAAGTGTGCACTGGGGGAAGTCACGCACGGCAGGGGGGAGACACCTGAGTGTGCAATGGGGGGGGTCACGCACGGGCAGGGGTGAGTGGGGGGAGAGACACCTGAGTGTGCACTGGGGGAAGTCACGCACGGCAGGGGGGAGGTCACGCACGGCAGGGGGGAGACACCTGAGTGTGCAATGGGGGGGGTCACGCACGGCAGGGGGGAGACACCTGAGTGTGCACTGGGGGGGTCACGCACGGCAGTAGCGGGAGTCTGCCCGTGAGGGAGATGGGTGTTGGGGGGCGGTTCGAGGAAGGCCCCCCCCGAATGGGCTCCGGGCGGGACCCCGGCACTCACCGAACCCGCAGCGGCCGCAGCCCATCCCGCCGGTTCCGGGCTCCGTCACCGCCCAGCCCGGATCAGCCTCACAGCCCGGCGCGGAACCCAGGAGTCCGACCCCGGCCCTCCACCCCCGCGCGGAACCCAGGAGTCCGGCCCCGCCCCTCGCCCTCCCGGCACGGAACCCAGGAGTCCTGCCCCGCCCCTCCACCCCCGCGCGGAACCCAGGAGTCCGGCCCCGGCCCCCCTCTCGGAACCCAGGAGTCCGGCCCCGCCCCTCCACCCCCGCGCGGAACCCAGGAGTCCGGCCCCGCCCCTCCACCCCCGCGCGGAACCCAGGAGCCCCCTCCCGGCCAACAGGAGTCCGGCCCCGCCCCTCCACCCCCGCGCGGAACCCAGGAGTCCGGCCCCGGCCCCGATCCCCCGCGCGGAACCCAGGAGTCCGGCCCCGCCCCTCCACCCCCGCGCGGAACCCAGGAGTCCGGCCCCGGCCCCGATCCCCCGCGCGGAACCCAGGAGTCCGGCCTCCCGGCAGAACGATTGATCCGGGGGGGGGGGGTCTCTCCACCTTCCCCTCCGAGGCCGGCGAGCCCGGGCCTGGGGGTCCCGCGCCGGGAGCTCAGTCCCCGGCAGCGCTGGAGGGAAGGAGCCGCCCCCTCCCCGTGGCGGCTGCTCCACGCGTGCCCGGAGCCCCCGGGGGGTCGATGCCCCCCTCAGGCCCACACAGCGGGGGGGCGGCTGTAGCCCCGCCAGGCCCAGAGCCCTGGTTGAGGCACCAGCCTCCAGGGCTGCCCCCCGCCGCCCCCCACGGCCCCAGACAGGGCCGGCCCCAGGCGGGCGGGGGTAGACGGGGCCCAGCACACATGGCAAAGAGGCGGCGTTTACTTATTTACAAAACAGTTTATTAAAAATAGGAAACGATAGAAACTAGAGCCCGAGGCTCCAGAGGCAGCAGCCCTGGCCCCTGGGGAAGGGGCTGCAGGGGGGAGCGGAGTGGGTGTGAACAGGCCTGGCTCAGGGGACTGGGAGCAGGGCTCAGAGCCCCCAACCCCTCCAGGGAGACGGGGGGCAGAACTCACGCAGGACGGCCCACAGCTACCCCTGCCCAGGCCCAGGGGCCAGTCTCATACCGGGGGGGCTCCAGGGCCAGCAGGGGGAAGAGCAGCACCCAGGTGCCCCTCCAGCAAGAGCCTGCTTGGGGGCACCCGAGAGTGCTCCAAGCACCTGCTCCCAACCCCACCCCTGCCCAGCTCACTCCAGGTCCAGGAGGGCAGTGACAGCCCCTGCCCCGGGGCTCCAGCCCAGCCTCGGCCAAGCTGCTGCGTAACACACGTAAACAAGAGGGATAGAGAGCCAGAGGGTGAAGCGCCAAGGGGCTGCTGGGGGCGAGAGTGAGCAGGGCGCGTTGCAGAACCCCCCTCACCTCTGCCCCGGGGGATGAGTACAGAACAGTGCTAGAGGCAGACACCAGGTGTGGTGCGCATGGGGGTAGGGGGCTCCCCTCTTTTCTACCTTTAAATAAAAAGATTTCTGTCCTGTGCAAAAGAAAACCCACCAAACTTTGTACAGTTCCAACAGACCAAATACCATGCACATTCCCGCGGGCCGGCTGGCCACGCCGCCCCACACAATCCCAACAAAACACGGCTCAAATAATACTGACTCGCAAAGTCCCCTTTAATAGGCAGGCAGGGCAGACTGTCGCTGGGCCTGGCGACGGCACATGCAGGATGAGCTTCCAAGCGCAGCGTCTAGGGTCTCGCTGGTGCCCTACACAGATGGACAGACTCTGAAAAGGGTCATGGGCCGGCCACCTTGGAGGGGCTGCTAGGATGACACGGTCACCGCCGTCAGGGCTCCGTTCCGGGCATAGAAGAACTTGCTGAACGCCTCTTCAAGTAAACAGGTGAGTCTGTTCTGGTCGGCCTGGGGAGAGCAGAGCAGTGAGCAGAGTGACTCTGCATGCCAGGCCACCCCAGCTGGCACCCCCGGGCAGGCAGAGGGCAGGGTCAGGCAAGCTGGGCCATGGGCCTGACCAAGCCCACATCTGAGAGACTGGGGTGGAGGGAGCAGCAGGAGCCTGGCCCTGGAAGGGGAAGACTGGTGGGGACAGCAGGACAAGAAACCCTGTGGCCTGTGCGCTGAGGGGAGGGGCAGCCCACAAGCACAGCTAGGTGAGCAAAAGGGGCTGACACAGGAATAAGCTTGGGGAGGTGTGGGGGGGACCCATGCAGCCAACTCCCCCTCGTGCCAGCAGGGGTGAGGCAGGAGCTCACCTCACTGATGAACCCCAGCTGTACCAGCTCGGCCGCCAGCTCCTGGATATTGTCATCTACAACAGAGAGGACCGAGTGAGTCCTGGACCGGCGGGACGCCCCACAGCCCAGGGGAGGGGAAGGGCAGGTACTTACTGGGCAGTAAGTCACAGCTCAAGTGTCTATTCAATTTGTCTTCCAGTTTCAGCAGCAGCGTCAGCTGCAGGAGAAAGGTGGACATGAGAAGGAGCCGCAATTCCTGCATGAGCTGGGGGGCTGCCACGGCCCGGGTGGCCCCTGCCCTTTACTCCCCACCCTGCCCCCCTCCGTACTTCGAGGAGTGCCTGGAGCAGGCCCAGTACAATCCCCTCTGCTCCCCGCGGGACAGAATGCGCCACACCCAAGCCAGGAAACGCCAGGCTCTCTCCTGCACAAGGAGCGTGGATCCCGCAGGGACTGCGCTGCACCAGGTGGGCTGCCAAGCTCTGCCACGGATCACCAAGCCTGTCGTGGCTTTGGGCCCTGCATACTGGAGACCTGCCGGGGCAGCAGGGCTCAGCAGCCAGCACGTCCAGGCCACAGCACGGCTCACCCCACCACTGCTGCCAAGGGGGAGCAGAGACGTTTGAAGCAGCCTGTTCAGCAATGGTGCCTTAAGACCCTGCCTGTACAGAGCACGCGTGTGCAAGAGGGAGACGGAAACGTACGTGGTGCTTGACTCCCTCCTCCACTGACTCAATGTTACACTGCATTAGCACCACCTGAAAGGGAAGCAGAGAGGCCACGTGACTCCAGCTGCCACTGCACGGTGCAGCCACTAAGGGGAGAGCAGCAGCAGCATCTCCCCCTCTCACCTTGCGGGTCTCCACCTCAGCAGGTTCTGGCGTTGGGGTTTTCACTGACGGGGGGACAATGGGGGACTTCACCACCTCCTGCTGGGGCTGCTGGGGCCGAGGCATCCCAAAGGCTGTGAGTGGGTAGATGCCGTTCCTGCAAGAGGAGCAGCGTTATGGAGGGCGCTTGCCTTCTCCCGGTGAGCGGAGGCAGCGTCCAGGAACCTGCCCAGGGCCAGCTGCAGGCAGGAGAGTCTCACGGCATAGGAGGGGGATGGCATCTTACCTCACATCCTCCAGGAACTTGTCCAGCTCCAGTGCCGGGGACTGGGAGAAGCTGGAAAAAAAAAAAAAAGGGCAGTGAAGTCACAAGCCAAGCCAAACCCAGCCTGTGCCACCTCCCTGCCCAGTGCCATGCGGGAGGCCTTGCCTGACAGTTCTCTCCTCATTACAACCAGGAGGTAGAGCCTCTCCCCTGTGCAATGCAGGGGCTGGAGGCTCCAGGACTAAGCCCTGCCCTTCAGCCTGGGCCCTCCAAGGGGCTCTTCCAAAGCTGAACACACTAGGAGCTTTAAGGGAAATTAAGCCCTAACACAACGGTAGCCCTGTCTCCCTGTTGACCAGCCTGTTAACACATCACAAAGTGTATTGCAGCCATTTAGCCAATGCCAGGAATCAATGAACAAGGAGAGGCCCTGCGAGTGGAGAAGGCACCCTGCTGCACAGCTGCTCTCCATCACTCACACTGTACTAGCAGAGAGGGATAAAGCAGAACTGTCAGAGGGCAGTAGAACAGGCAGAAATAGGTAGAAGTTCCATCCATATAAAGCAAGATCTTTGTAATTTAAAGACTTACTTGGGAACCAACCCAGTAGCACCTACCTACCAAAGGATGCTTATGAACACAGGAGCCTCCAGACTGAATCAGACCAGGTTCCCTGTCTTCTGACAGTGTCAGCACTAGATAATGCTGAGGAAGAGCAGAGAACCCTGGGGTAGCAGAGGTGGGATAATCTACCCCCCACATAGACCTCACCATGGTATCTAATAGCTGGAGATTGATGTAAGCCCTGAAGCAAGAGGTTTAATGTTGCTGCCACACTTATCAACTGTGATCATGCTGAATAGTTTTGATCCACACGTGTCCAGCCCTTTTCACATTTACTAAATTCTGGCTTCAGCCACTTCCTGTGGCAGTGTTCTGCATCGGGGTCGGCGTGTGTGTGAGAAAGTGTTTCCTTTTCTCCTTTCCCTTTTAATAACTGAACACTGCCATTCTTGTGCAGGGAGACCAGATGCTCCTGCTCTCCCTTCTCTACTATTGATTTTATACACCTCTGTCGTGTCCCCTCTTATTCATCTCCTTTCTAAGGTAAAAATCCCAATCTCTTCAGTCTTCCTGGAGAATTTTTACAGGTCCTTGATCATTCTCATTGCTCTTCTCTGAACCCCTTCCAGTTCTGCAATATCCTGGGAGATAAGGTGATTGAAGTACCCATGTTGGCCACAGTTGGGGGGGGTACCCAGTTAAGTACATACCCAGGGACTTACCTAGATATGCCCAGATGGGCATGTTTTCCTTGTGATTGTCATCTTCATGGTATTTCAGCAAAGGGGACCATTTGGTCCCTGCCGAAAGCTACGAATTCGCTGGTTGTCATGGTTATTCCAGGATGTGCATGTGGAAGAGATTAAGAGTCATGTGACAGGTGGAATATTGTGTCCCAAAGCTGCTGGATGTGAAATTGGGCAAGAGGAGTGGTTCTCAGAGCTCACTCAATCAAATGTAACAACAACGGATGTCTTTCTACCTAGCCCGACCAAGAGTCTACGATCTAGACAAGGTGCAGGCTTGGGCCTTTACACAAAGCACAAAAGAACCCAAGAAAAAGACTGTGAACAGGGGGATGACCAGGGACAAGCTGATTACAAAGGAGACAAAAGGTCTGGTTCTGTATAATAGGAGAAAGAAGGGCACAAGAGATTGTCCATTATAGAAGTGACATGCTGCCAGCATGAGTGTCTCATGGAAAGTGGCTCCCAGCTCTCTGGACTGGGCAGGAGTTACACAGACTGACCACTGGGTGAGAAATCCCTCAGACCGGAAAAGAACTTGCTAACACGTGTAGATGCCACAATGCATCTTCTGTTTTTCTTTTACCTGTCACCTGATGTTTCCAGCTCTTCTCCTTTCTGCTATTTGAATCTCTCAAGCTTTGTCCCAAACTGCCACTAGGTTTTACTAGAGACATGGCTCAGTGTTGTGTGCTAAGGACAGGGCAGATCTGTGGTGATGCTAGTGAAGGGGGGATGCTGCTTCCACAGAGGCAGCGAATCTCTGCACATTGCGTGTGTCCAGAAGTTGCGGGACTGGACACTTGAGTGTCATGAAGTGGTGTACACAGACAGGCTGGGGAGACTTTTGCCCCAGGGCCAGAGTAGAACTCAAGGGGTTAACTAGCCCCATACATTATCTCCACTCAGGCTCCCTAAGTGAGCCCTGGAGGCAAAGAGCTGGGGTATGCAAATTGTTTGCTTGCAGAAGGAAAGAACGGGGCTTGCAGAGCCTGGAGTGGGCTGCTTGTGTTGCCAGCAGCTGCTGGTTTTGGGCAGGTTCCCTCCAGGGGGCACAGAGAAGGCTCCCTTGCACCGTAAGCAGGTGGGAGCAATTCACCCTGTAGCCCAGGGGTAACACTGAAAGCATCAGTGACCAGCACACCACGCAGAACCCATCTGAGGCCACACCGATTTACAGAACTGCATTAGAATGTTCTCTGTTCACTGCCCCACTCTCCATGCATCCTAACACGTTGTTTGCTTTTTTGACTGCCCTGCACAGAGCCCAGGTCTCACCAAACTGTCTACAGTGACGCTCCTGTGTGCAACTGAAGACGGCCACCACATCCCCAACTCTCTCCATTCCCAATGCGGATCAAAGCCCCTGTTCCTTCTGTGGAGGGACGGACACCAACCTTGCACAGCGTTTCCTCAGATAAGGCTTAGACACGTTCTTCCCACAGTGTCACTAGGCCTTGGAGAGAGCCTCTGTTTGATTCCCGAATGGCTTCGCAAATGCCTAACAGGATTTTAACCTCTTGCCTGCAGCAACTATGAAGTCCTGTGGCCCCTGGACAGAAAAGTTTCTGGAGCGAAGAGAACAGCCTTCTCTCACAGCATAACAGAGAGAGGCATCAGTTTCAAAACTTGCCTTTCAGAGACAGCGGCAACTAGAAAAGCCAGCCACAAGCTTGTATAATTTGGCCAGTTTGAGGACTATCACCACCGGATAATGCTCACATGGAGAGTCCCACGTACCTACATAAAGAATGCTCCGAGGGCTGGTACCCACTTTTCTACAGGGCTTGGCTTGTAGGACTCCAAGCATCCACCAGGAGACTAGTGCAGCCAAGGTTTCAGAGTAGCAGCCATGTTAGTCTGTATTCACAAAAAGAAAAGAAAGACTTGGGGCACCTTAGAGACTAACCAATTTGAGCATAAGCTTTCATGAATGCATCCAATGAAGTGAGCTGTAGCTCACAAAAGCTTATGCTCAAATAGATTGGTTAGTCTCTAAGGTACCACAAGTCCTCCTTTTCTTTTAGTGTAGCTAAGATCACCATAACTTTGCAATGATTATTATTTAGAGGCCAGTGCCCCCGTGCCAGGCCCTGTACAGATGGCCCTTTCCCCAAAGTGCTTACTATATCGCTTTGCACCAGAAATGAAACTTGACTAAATAAAGTTTCCTGGTTGAGTTCTGTCTGGACAGCCTGAATGACCTGGTTTGCTGAACTGCACCTCAATTCCAATCCCCAAGCTGTGGATATTTTACTAAAAGATCTGCTCTAGGAATTACTGAGAGGCCTCTGTTGTACAGGAGTCAGACTAGAGGATCATAATGAACCCTTCCGGCCATGAAAACCTGTAGGTGGTCCAAATCTGCTTCAAGAGATCTGTTCTTTTCTGCATGTGCAATGGAGATTCCCTGTCCACCATAAGACAAGGAGGAGGACTTCACATCTCTTTTCCGTAGCCTTTATGTGAACTGTTATGAAAGGAAACAGGTTCTTCTCTGCCTGGGACAATATTTCTCTGAGACGCTCTGATCTTGGTTCTGTTCAGACATGCTACAGATTGAGCTGTCAAAGGGAACTAACAGGACATGGACTGAGAGATTGAAAAACTGTACAGCACAAGGGGTGAGCTTGAAACAGAGATTACTTCCTTCTGAGTGAGGAACAAGATGACCCAGGGGTTATTGTCTTCCAGCTATGCTCCCCACTCTGAGAAGCTTGCTAAGGGTCCAGAATAACCTGGGGTAGCTGTCAGCATATCTAGTTGGCAGCCAGTATCAAACAAAGTGCCCCAGGGGTCTGTCCTGGGGCCAGTTTTGTTCAACTTCTTAATTAATGATCTGGATGATGGGATGGATTGCACCCTCAGCAAGTTCACAGATGACACTAAGCTGAAGGGAGAGGTAGATATGCTGGCGGGTAGGGATAAGGTCCAGAGTGACCTAGACAAATTGGAAGATTGGACTAAAAGAAATCTGATGAGATTCAACAAGGATAAGTGCACAGTCCTGCACTTAGGACGGAAGAATCCCATGCACTGCTACAGACTAGGGACTGAATGGCTCGGCAGCAGTTCTGCAGAAAAGGACCTAGGGGTTACAGTGGACGAGAAGCTGGATATGAGTCAGCAGGGTGCCCTTGTTGCCAAGAAGGCTAACGGCATACTGGGCTGCAATAGTAGGAGCATTGCCAGCAGATCGAGGGAAGTGATTATTCCGTTCTATTCAGCACTGGTGAGGCCACATCTGGAGTACTGTGTCCAGTTTTGGGCCCCCCACTACAGAAAGGATTTGACGAAATTGAAAAGAGTCCAGCGGAAGCCAACAAAAATGATTCGGGGGCTGGGGCACATGACTTATGAGGAGAGGCTGAGGGAACTGGGGTTATTTAGTCTGCAGAAAAGAAGAGTGAGGTGGGATTTGATAGCTGCCTTCAACTACCTGAAGGGGGGTTCCAAAGAGGATGGAGCTCGGCTGTTCTCAGTGGTGGCAGATGACAGAACGAGGAGTAATGGTCTCAGGTTGCAGTGGGGGAGGTCTAGGCTGGATATTAGGAAACACTATTTCACTAGGAGGGTGGTGAAGCACTGGAATGGGTTCCCTAGGGAAGTGGTGGAATCTCCTTCCTTAGAGGTTTTTAAGGCCTAGCTTGACAAAGCCCTGGCTGGGATGATTTAGTCGGTCCTGCTTTGAGCAGGGGGTTGGACTAGATGAGCTCCTGAGGTCTCTTACAACCCTGATCTTCTATGATTCTATGTCTGCAC